GTCTTGCGACCCGAGCAATGCCTTCATCTTTATACTCCAATTGTCGTAGTTATCCTTGTTGAGTTGGGGAACTTGAAAAGGAATTATCTCACTTGTCATTTTCACAAGAACCTAGGGCTCTGATACCATTTTGTTAGAGAAAAGAGGGTTTACTTACTTGGATTGGCTAAATCTTTTAAGGAGGACAATACTAACAAGAAGAAGGAAGTGAACAAAGGGAAACTTGTATCTCTCAATTCCAAAACTTGCACACTTAGCTTGTTACAAAATGAAAGACTTTACCCCTTGATATAATGTTTGCATAAAACTTCTAGTCCACACAATTTTCTAGAGACTCCTAGACCACATATTTACATAAAACTTTTAGACCACACATTTGGACAAGATATTTTCTTAGAATACTCTAGATAGACTTTATAAGACCACATATTCTTCTTGACATATTACTACATTTATCACCACATATTTTACTTAGATATTTATATAGATGTTTTTAGTAAATATTTATATAGATTTTTCTAAACAATGTTTCTAGAAATGTTCGGCATGTTGGGCTTTTTAATTGATTTGGGCCTATAAGCAAAATCCTTAAACTTATATTATTTAGTCCAAAAATCTTACTACTAAACAAAATTCTCCCAATCCAAAAACAGGAAATACAATATAAGAGTGAAAGATAACTACACTTCATTCAACCTTAGTTATAATATTCCTTGACAGTATACATCAAGTGTAGTGACTTTGTCCCTACTCGAAGAAAATTTTGTGAATTCGAAATTCGGGAAATCCATTTCCATCTTTGAAGTGGTTTTATTGTAATGATTTAGGATCGCACACAATCGGGAAATCAAGGTGTACAAGCTTCAGGACTCGCATATACAACGAGACAAATATCGACACTTCTTTTGCTCGAACAAGGCAAGGAAAGTGCCCATTAACTATGGGTTCCGGGGACAACAACTTGGCACCTCTCGACGTCCAAACACAAAATGACTTTGACAATAATTACTTCAAAAACCTAATAAAAAAGAAAGGACTTTTGCATTCTGATCAGGTTCTGTACAATGGTGGATCAACTGATTCATTGATTGAAGCCTACAGCAAGAGCCCTAAATCTTTCGACTCTGATTTTGCTGCTGCAATGATAAGGATGGGTGATATTAGTCCCCTCACAGGATCAAGTGGCGAGATAAGGAAAAAATGTAGG